GGGCAACCTCCAAGTACTTTTGTGAACATGACTGAGGGGGGGGAGAAGAGTGGCACGTTAGGTATGAACGGGAGGGGTTCCAACCGGCCAGTTAGGCCGGAGCCCGGACCGTCTATAGGTCCGTGTATTAGAATAGGAATTGTGAGGTAGAATAGATAGTTAAATGAGTAGGAGTAGGGTCCGGAAGGATATACTTTTTAAAACAAGAAGTGATTTTGTTTAAGATAAGCTAAACCGGCTGATGCTGCCGGGATAACTCCGGGTTGAATTGTGAGGTCCCCGGGCTCTATTCAGAATTCATTTGGAATGACAATGATTTATGATTTGAAACGAAAAAAAAAAAATCATCCAACCAATCTGATTTCTGTAGCAAGTGCATCGTCCAGCAGAGCCTATAGCTGCTACTACCATCTTCCCCAAAATAGAACGCTCTATCTTAGAGTCAACGTTGCCTCCAAAACAGCTATAATGACCTATGGTCTATTTGCACGAAGACGGTAAGCTACTAAGTAGTAAGCACTTATATAAGTCTCACAAAAATCCACATACCTGGTGTATCTGGGAGCTCCTGCTCTCCAGGCTGTAATCCTTTTCCTCGCAAATGACTGAGATCTATCTCATCGGGCACATCGATAAATACATCTGTCGAGAGTAGGGGCAAATATCAAACAACCACAATACACAGGTCAGGTATGCTCTCGAATCCCCCCCCCACAAGGAAAGGAAAGAAACAAAAAAAAAGGTCAGGTACGCTTTCCAGAGGGGGGGGGGGGGGGGGGGGGGAAGAGACGCCAGATATTTTATTTCCAGAGAGAAATTCATGAACCACACAAGTTCAGACGTGCTCTCGACAAGTTCATTCGCACCTGGTCTTGACCACTGTGCAGTTGGCCGCGATAGGTTCGAAGTGTGGACCTTGTCGGCACAAGTTCATTCACACCTGGTCTTGCCAAGTTCGTAATTCAAATTTTTCGTAGGCTACTTGGCCCGCCCAGCCGTGCAATCCGAGCAAATCGCCCGTGGGTGACCTGCACGGGGCAACCCCGTGCAGGCACAAATCAGCCTTTCTTTGTTTTTTCTTTGGTCTTTTGGTCCTTTTTTTTTTTTTCTTAATTGGGTGGAGGTTTTCCGAGCATGGCCAGAGGAGCCCGAATCCAGGCTCCTTTCTTTTCTCGTGTCTTAGCTGTCAAGGAGGGGGGGAACTGGGTATTCATTTGGTTTTAAGGGTCTACAGTGCTACAGGGGTTTAAAGGGGGGTGTGTTAGTCTAGGCGGGGGAACGGGGTATTAATTGGTATAAAGGGGCTACCCTGCTACAGGGGTTTAAACCACTAGTCCCTCCGAGCCTGTTTTTGCCGACCCTGGATTTCACTGCGCACCGAGTTTTGTCGAGCCTGGGTCCCGTTTCATTTTTTGTTTGGTACTCTTGCGAAAAGGCATTGCGAAAAGGCAATTCAAAAAAAAAATAAGTGTAGCATTCAAAAACGAGAAAATGCTTTGCGAAATCCATAAATGATGAGCTTTTTCGAAGGGCAAAAAAAAAACTCAAGAGAACAACTATGTGGACGTGATAGCAAGTAGATTCCATAATTTGAGTAGTTGTGTGAGTGTGCCCTCAGTGAAGGGCACGGTGCAGCCGCGTCCATGAATGAGCCAAAGAGGAAAAAAGAGCAACTACCCTAAGGACAGGATAGAGGGAAGATACAGCATCCTGAGCATTAGTGTGTGTGTGTGTGTGCCCTCCCTAAGAAAGTGTCAGGGCAGGTGGATTGCGCCCCGCCTCACTGGCAGTAGTGTGTGCCAGCCCTCCCTGAACAACGGGTCAGTCAGGTCCCCGATCGAACAAAAAAGAAAAGAAGTGCAACTACCCTAAAGACAGGATAGCAGGCAGATAGAGAATCGTGAGCAATAGTGTGTGTGTGCCCTCCGTGAGAGAGCGTCAGGGCCCGTGGAATGCGCCTTGGAAGTTGGAACTAAAGAACGAAAAAAAAAAAAAAAACAAACTGAAACTGAAACTAGCCTGGATTCCTTATTCGAACAACTACAGTTACCACAACCCTGCCCAGGCGTCCTTCCTTTGCTTTGTTTTCTTTTTTTTTGTCTTTTTCCGAGCGGGCCCACAAGGCCCAAGACTTTTATTTTGGCTGAGCTTCCTCGGGACGTCCAAATATTGCGGTGTGACGTACATTCCCGTTTTTCCAACACTGAGAAAGGTAGTGGTGGTTTAAAGAGGGGTGCGTTAGTCTAGTTCTTGTTGTTTCCTTCTTTTTCATGCCCGGCTGGGCACCCGCGCATGTGTTGGGTGCCCAGGCACCCAGACAAACAGCCTAGAAACTTTTGGATTCGTTTTTTGCACCTTGTCTTCGCAAGTTCATTCGCATCTGGTCATATGACAAGTTTGCAATTTGTTCCAACCACTTCGCACTTTGGCTTAAGCCGGCAGTACACGGCCCCCGCCTTGTAGAAATTTGCTCGTCGCCTACTTCGAATTTCGCGGTCCGGACCTGCCCGATCACAGCGGCTGGAGGGGTCAGCCGCCAAAACAGAAAAGACGTCTGCCGCTGGCGGATCGGAAAAGCTTTGTGCGCAGTGCACCACCTCCAGGCGTGGGTTTACTGGTTGTTTAACAGGTTCGGCTGGCCGTGATAACTTCTTTTTTGCACCAGGTCTTGATGATGGCAAGTTTGGACCTCCATCATGGACAGGTTTACACCTGGCCTTGACAGGTCTGCACCTGGTACAGGTCTTGATGATGTTCACTTCACAAGTTCAAAACCTGGTCCAGGTCTTGATGACAAGTTTGGACCTTCATCATGGACAGGTTTACACCTGGTCTTGATGACAGGTTTGCACCTGGTCCAGGTCCAGGTAAGTTCAAAACCTGGTCCAGGTCTTGATTACAAGTTTGGACCTGCGGGTCCAGACAAGTTTGATGACAGGTTTGCAATATATCAGAAAACCGCAGGGTGCATTGGGAAATGTCTTGCACCTGCCGGTCCAGACAAGTCTGGACGTCGTTGTGACAGGTTTGCAACTAGCTTGAAAAGTATGCACCTGGTCTGGAAACACTTGGCACCGCGGCTCGACAAAGTATTGTGCCTGGTGCGTGGAAGGGAAGTCCGAAGGCCTGGAGCACGAGGGCCAAGACCGTGAACAACATGCTTTACAACTTCATAAGCTGACGATGAGGATGTAAACATGAATGTAATATGAACGAATGTACAAAACCGACCTATTGAATTGCCGCAGCAATGGAGAAAAAAAACTTTTTTTTTTTAAAGTAAAAAAACGTAAATGGCGGTGACCCCGTGACAATTTGACAGTCACAACGATAATGGGGAAAAAAAGCACAAATGCTGGCGATGGGGGGGCCGTCGATACAAAAGTACAAAAACGACTTTGAAAGTTTTGCAGATCAGAAGAAGCTGACTGAATGCTATCACGCCACGCCACACGATTGATTTTTCCAAGATCATCGGCGGCACTGGAACTTTCTAAACCAACACAAAAAGAAAAAGTCTCAAAAAGAAAAAAACGAAGAATATTTATAATTATTATAATAATTTCTATAATATAATATTCTCAATATAAAATATTCATACTCAAATATATATATATTTTAAGTATAATATTCAAATTATATTTTCTATAATAGAATATTGTTTAATATAAAAAAGGGAATTCATTGCCCGGTGAGCGGGTAAGAGTACCAGCGGGGGTTACGTGCTGACTACAGAGCGAAGTGTACGGCACTGTACGAGAATTGCCGTGTCGGTGGGTGTTGTGTGTTGAGTTGGACACTACAGCCTTGCAGGGTTGGGGTGGATATCACGACCGGTACGATTCCACTTTTGAACACCGTGTCCTGGCTGTAGTGGTTAAGAGACTTGGCTCTTGAGGCTGAGGTCGCCGGTTCGAATCTGTGCGTGCACAGAGGAGGGCTTAGGCCCAGACGTATGGAATCCATACTACTACATAGGCAGAAAGGCTAGGAAAAAAGAAAAGAAAAGAAAAGAAAAAAAAAGGACGAAGTTCGACGAATGCGCGGTGCGCCGCCCCAGTGGTGGCATTCGGGCGTTGGGGGATCGCTCACGGGGCCAACAAAATCTGTCTGCTTCAATTGCCAAAACTTGGCGCTGGCGTGAACATGGCGGCGCAGGAAAGAACACTAGGGTGTTAGGGGGGCATGCCGAGGGAGCAGTGATATGCTCCTGGTCGTTGCTGGTCTCACTTGACTTCTGTCAGGAATCTCTAGTTCGGTGGAGGAAGGAGAGTGTGATATGTGGGGGCCATCAGCGGGTGGGATCCGGACGCTGCACCCTACCTGACGAGACCGATCGGGGTTCTGCCCCTCGATCTTTGATATGGAGGTTTTTGCGGGGCTCTCCTACCCTGACACTGTTGTCAGGGTCAACCCGCAAAGGTGACAAAGACGGGAGCTACGAGCGATTGCCGGACTTCTCATGTTCGCTGCATAGCCGGGGTACGTGGGGATTTCGCTTACGATCTCCAGCAGGAGCGCACATCGACTTCGTGGATTGGGTGTGTTCACCTGTCGTGGCCCGTGTTAGGGGCTGTGTGTGTGTGTGTGTGTTAGGGTGTGTGTGTGTGCTGTCTCTTATACACATCTAGATGTGTATAAGAGACAGACGTGGGGATTTCGCTTACGATCTCCAGCAGGAGCGCACATCGACTTCGTGGATTGGGTGTGTTCACCTGTCGTGGCCCGTGTTAGGGTCTCTGAGAGAGAGAGAGAGAGAGAGAGATGTGTGAGAGAGAGAGAGAGAGAGAGAGAGAGAGAGAGAGAGAGAGTTGTACATAGTGGACTGTTTGTGTTAGATTGTTGTTGTTGGTTTGGTGTAAGTTTTTGATTTGTGTTAGGATATCTGCCACGAATGGGTGAGTGCCGCTCCGCGGAGATTCCCTCATGGTGGGCGGCGGGGTCTCTTTGGGAGCCGACACAGATGGGTGGAGCAGTTTAATACCCTGAATCACGAGGAGGAGGGTGGGTTTGCGGGGTCTTCGACCCCTGCCGCGCGGGTGGTGGGGTATCACTGCTGGTTTATGAAGATATTGGGTTTGCTTACATATTCGGGTCGAGCAATCGTGGGTTTGGTTTCCATCTTTTTGTGACAGGATTTGGTTTCTGTAGTTATCTGAGTCCTTTTTCGCCGTTTGGGTAACAGTTGTCGTAATTTGTTCCGACTCTTGTTTAGCGTTGTGCATGCGATGGAATGAAAGAGGGAGTGCCGCTCCGTAGAAACACCATTATGGTGGGCAGTGGGGTTTCCTTGTGAGAAGGTGCAGTTTAGTGGAAGTGGTTTTCCCTAAACCGCGAGGAGGTGGGTGGGTTTGCGGGGTCTTTGACTCCTGCCGCGTGGGAGGTAGGGTATTACCGCTGAGACCTTGAATTTGGGTCAGATATTCATTTCATCTTGATTGGTTGCTGTTTGCTGTCATCTGAGTTCTTAAGGAGAAGTGGTGAGCATCGCTCCGCAGGGCCTTCGTCATGGAGGGAGGCGAAGCATCCGTAGGGGGTGTATGTAGATTGAGGGAGAGGCTTACCCTAAATCGCGAACAGAGAGGGGGTGAAACAGAGTGCTCTGCTGGCGTTTTGCCAACCCATCGAGAGGCTGACCCCTCCACAGTGTGTGCATAGTGTCCCCTAACCATTACTAAGTCAAGTGGTACATAATCCACGGAAACCCCTTTGAAGTTTGAACCCCACTTTCGGTTGGGCGCCAACCACTGTCCCACAGGTGCAACCCTGAGGTGGGCACCAACCAACCACTGCTCTCTGGAGGGTGTACATATGTAAAATTGTATGTGTGAGGCAAAAGTAAAAATAGTAAAATACAATTTTTTAAACGAAGTATAAACAAGGAAGGAGGAAAACAAAAATAATAAAAAGAAGTTACACAAAAACATAATAGGAAATTCTCATCAAGCCATGACCCCCCTTGGATCCCATGATAGCATTTCCCACAAACCACTGCAATAAAGTCCCAAAACCACCCAAAAGAATGGGACGTACGGGGCGCATGCGAGATCCTTGTGTGTGTGTGTGTGTGTGTTTGCTTTGACAGTTTTGCCATCACTCCAGGCCATTAAAGTTTAAAACCCATAGGAGAAACACCTCCCGCCTTAAACACCCCCCGCACCCACCCCTAGACACCCCCCAGCCTCGCGCGCCCCCCCAACAAAAAAAAAAAAAAAACAAAACAAAACACGCGAATGTCTATCTTCTGTCTTTGGAGATCAAATGATTCGTAGCCGGTCGAGTCAGACTTTAGACCTGACGTTAATCAGCCGCCATATTTGCATCCAATAGGACTTGTAAAGATTTTGGAAAAAGGTGTCGGGTGGGTGGGGAAGGACATTGGAAAAAGGAATAAATGGGGTAGTTTACTATTTTTTTCTTGTTAAAAAAAGAGAAAAAGGAATAAAAGACCTGGATAGGGTGACATTCACAGAAAGACTTTGGACCATTGTCACGTGCCACTACATGACATGGTAGGGTATATTGACCCAGCCTGTGTCGCTCGTTGCCACCTCATTTTCAAAATAACGAGAAAAAACTTCAAAAAAGGGGGAAAAAAAAGGGATTCAAGTAGAGACAAACATCTTACCCAGTTTTTTAGCAACCCATCCCACGTCGTGCACAAATTTCTTCATGTGGAGAACTAAGCAGTCGGGAAATGTTCGTAGTCTAGTTCGCCTGAATAGAATATACCGCGCCGCATAACCCCCAAAACCGAGGAGCACAGAGTTAAAAATATTAAAATAACAGTTTACTATAAAACGAGAAGAGAATAACTGGCAAAAAAAAAAAAAAAAAAAAAAAACCTTTGAGAGAAGTGGTTAAAAAACACCATGAGGTAAAAAGACACGAAGAAGGAAAAAAAAAGACATGATGGATTGACTGACTCTTTTTTTTAGTAATTTGCTTGCGAGACCCGTCAGGACGTTGCTTGATTTATAGGATGTCAACCGTCGGGTCATCTATTAAAATCAGAGCATCACCACTGCACACAGAGGTAGGGCGGACAGTGCCGGACACGCAGGGTTCGGTGTTTAACAGAGAATGGACGATCTTGCTACTGGCGTTGCGAACTTAGGGTTTTGACATATTCTTTTTCCTTATGTTCGTTTTGTTGAGCCTATTCTATGATGTGAGGGATGATGGACCTGTTTTCCGTCTTTTATATTTCCAAAGCAGCCGTCATATGAACCAGGCCGAAGTGCCTGGATCATACGACATTTGGCTGCCAGTGTTCTGGTATAAACAAAAAAAAAAAAAAAAAAAAAAAAAAAAAAAAAAAAAAAAAAAAAAAAAAAAAAAAATGGCTGCCGAAAATGGCTTCTCGATGGATACCAATGGAACCTGTCTCTTATACACATCTAGATGTGTATAAGAGACAGGCCCAGACGTACGGAATCCATACTACTGTGGAAGCGCCCGTGAACCGACGGGCATTGATAAGTCCCGTCTGCGTGAGCGGGTAAGAGTACCAGCGGGGGTTACGTGCTGACTACAGAGCGAAGTGTACGGCACTGTACGAGAATTGCCGTGTCGGTGGGTGTTGTGTNAAAAAAAAAAAAAGAGATCACACTGCCATTTTTTTTTTTTTTTTTTAAGTTCTAGAATATAGTGATATACATATGATGCTGACTACCGGGGGGTTAAAAAAATGGTCCAGTCCAGTTCGCTAAAAGTTGGTACCAAAAAAAAGTAATCAGGTTGGTCTGCTTTGGTTGAAATTTGGAAAAAAAAAAGAAAAAAAAACCACTTACGACCGTGTGCCCTTAAACGAAAAAACTTCAGAACAGTTCACCAAAATTCCAAACACAGACGTACTGGTGGAAAAGTTATAATAAAAAAAAAAAAACTGAAAAAAGAGATGAAAGAGATGAAAGAGATGAAAGATCTGAAAATATTTATTCTGTTCAGAAACTCATTTCAAGTCACAATTCAACATTTAGTTGACATTGCTGCACTTCCCAGTTGACATTTGCACACCGCTCAGTTCGTAATAAATTTGGAACTGTGGAATGAAATTGTATAAATTTCTAGGGCGATTTCCCGGGCGCCCGGGTGCCAAATTCCCGACCGGAATGGCACCCGGGCCAGTTTTGCGCAAGCCCCGAAATTTTTGTTTCGGGGCCCTGGGGGGTGCTCTCGGGGTCCTTCAGGCCAGTAGCACCGGCCGCAAAATATTTTCGGCCTTCTGGGGCCCCAAAAAGTGCCTGGCCGCGTCCCCGAGACCTGGCCGTCGATCTCGAAGATCGACGGCTGGATTTCGCAGGTTTTCCAACTCGTTTGCCCGCGCGTTTTCATGTCGGGGCGATGAGTTTGCCGACGCGAAAACGCGCTGGCAAACGAGTTCCCCTACGGAGTCGGCCATCGGAGCCCACGCGACAACGACGAAGCCCCGAAGACCCCCTGCCGTTGCCCCGGGAGCCCGCCGCCATCGCCCGCCAGCCAGTCCTCGGCCATCGACGGTTTGTGTATGTGTGTGTGTGCGCGCGTGTGTGTGTGTGAGAGAGAAAGAGAGAGCAGCCCTTTCTCTCCTCCTCTTCTCCTCCTCTTCTTCTTCTTCTTCTTCTTCCTCTTGTTCTCGTCCAGCTGCCCATCGCCCCGGACATCGCCCCGCCACCCGCCTTCCTTCTTCTTCTTCTTTTTCTTCCTCTACGTCTTCGTCTTCCCCCCCCCCCCCCGACTTCGCCGAGACGGCGCCCCGCGACTCTTCCTCTTCTTCTTCTTTTTCTTCTTCTTCTTCTTCTTCTTCTCCTCCTCCTCCTCCTTCTCTCCTCCTCCTCTTCTCTTCTTCTACTACCCCTTCTCCCCCCATCTTTATCTTCTTCCCCCACCTTTGTTGTTATTCGTCTTCTTCCCCTCCTCCCCCTCTCGTTGTTTTCTCGTCGTCTTCTTCGTCTCCATCAGGTAGGTAGCGTGAAACACGACATGCAAAAACAAAAAAACAAAAAAAGGTTCACGGCATTCCTCCTCTTCCTCCTCCTCAGCTCATCTTCTTCTTCTTCTTCTTCTCTCCTCCTCCTGTTGTTCTATCATTTTCGTTGTCGTTCGGTAGGTAGCGCGAAATAGGACATGAAAAAAAAAAAAAAAAAAAAAACCGTCATCCTCCGATCCTCCTCTTCCCCCTCCTCTGCTCATTAACATCTTGTTCTTCTTCTTCTTCTTCTTCTTCTTCTTCTTCTCTCCTCATCCTCCTCTTGTCTTCTTCTACTACCCCTTCTCTACAACAACAACAACAACAACAACTACAACAGCAACAGACAACCCCCTTGCCCGCCCCCCCCCCCACCCATGAAACCCCCCAGGCCCGAAGTCACACACAAAAAAAAGACCCCGGATTTAGGGTCTACAGACCGAGCGCGGAACAACCTCGCGAAAAAACAAAAAAAAAAAAAAAAAAATCATATTTCTGGGCCCTTTTTTTTGACGACAGGGATACCCGGGCATGGGACCGGTCCGGTCGTGATGACCGGGTGACCGGCCGGTCCGGACCGGCTGGTCATGGGAATCTTCCTAGATAAATTTATTAAATTGCATGATAAATGCCGTTAACAATACAGAGAAGGAAGATTAGCATGGCCCCAGCACAAGGATGACTGTGGCATACTGCGTAGCCACACGGGCCCTACAGGGCCCATCCCGGACATTCAGCCTAAAAGCCTAAAACTTAGGGCTTACAGGCCCCGTTCATTTCAGTCTGGATGCTGAAAAACGAGGCCCTGCAGGCCCTACCTCGTTTCAGCCTATTTCTGGGTCTTTTCAGACCCAGAGTTTTCAGCCTGAAACGGAGGGCCATTTTCAGGCCCTCATTGTTTCGACCTGCTCCTAAGACTCAGGCACGGAAACAGGGATGCGGAACAGGCCCAAAATAGCCTGTTCCTCACGTACTCGAGCAGGAGCTGCAGCTGCAGCCCCTGCCTCCCTTCGGCAGGCTCAAGAGGCACACCCGTAGTACATAGGAGGTTCCCATGCACTTCACGGGGAAGGTAGTCAGTAGGCGGAGGTAGT